ATCAAAGAGCTGCAGAATGAGATTAACAAGCAACAAACTATTATATCACAGGTATGTTGGTATCTATACTTTCTATACTAATATAAAATATATTACTAGCTTTCGCTGGCGACTCCGTCCGCGTGGAATTAAAAAAAAGTAAGTAGTCTATGTGTTCTTCCAGACTGTCTTCTATATCTATGTCAAATTTCATCGAAATCCGTTAAGCCATTTAGGCTACAAACTATAATAAAGATCCATTCATCCATCAATCCATCTAAACTTTCACATTTATAATATTAGTATGATATAATAAAGCGTAAACACACACTACTTCGTGGCGTAGAATTTCAGCAATCACAGCATATTTTTGAATAACTCTTACTTTAATAAAGAGCCCTTCACTTACGATACGCTTTACGCTATATAATTTCACGCTATTCAACTTAGGGGGTTAATAAATTTCAAAAAAAGCCGTCATGCGGGAAAGGGACAAAAACTGCAATATTATCAATAGCAGTAAAGAAGCAAATCAAGGGCCTTCGTTATCATTGAAGCATTTGAATTGTGACATTTGCCAACGCAACACTCAAATATAGTTTTTATAATGTCATGGAGATGAAGCATGAAAACTTCTAGTGAACTTATATGATTTTTTCTACGGAAAGTTATAAAAGTAGATGATATTGTTACAGGCTAGCCAGGCGTTGAATCTGTGCGCGTCTACAATAGAATTCAGCGGCTCCACGGAACAGGCGGAAGGGGAAAGACTACTATTGTTAGCTAGTAAGTTTATTTATTGGAAAGGTATACCAATCGCATGTTCAAAGTACACAACCAAATTTAATATTGATAACAAACAAAACAAGTTAAACATACACACTTCGAAATTAGTAACATATAAGTATTGAAATTGATCGTCTTATCTGATTATTACAATCACTGATCTTAGAAAAATAAGGGTTTTAACTGTTTTTTTAACTAGAAGGGTTTTAACTGTTTTTTTAACTAGAAATGTTACCTTATTACAATAAATTATATTATCTTAAGAAACAGAACCTAGTTAGGTTAGGTTAGTTATTCAGTTGAATATCTCACTTTTGGATTCGTCCGTTAAATTAAATACCGGCTATTAACCTTTATTGAACTCTAGCTGTTGCTCGCGACTTCGTCTACGTGAAATTAAAAAAAAATTAGAGAAGTAAGTAGCCTGTGTTCTTCCAAACTATTCCCTACATTTAAGTCGATTTTCATTGAGATCCGTTCAGTTTAGGCTACAGACTTTAGCAAACATCAATCTAATCGCATTTATAATATTGGTAAGATTTTTTAGGATTTTTTGTCTAATTCGTATAGAAGACAGTAATAGTTTAACGTGTTTTTTTTTATTGTTTTCTTTATTTCCTGCTGCTATTTTTTGCAGCAGCCTTGTTATCTTTGTAGTTTGTTTTTTTTTTCTAGTTCTTTACCTTGTTATTTTTTATATGTGTTTTTTTTCTATTTTTTACGTTTCACGTAATTTAACGTGTTACAGCGCACCGGCGGCAGG